CGCCACCCCGGCCCATCGCGGATCGGCCTGCCGTCAACTCGTCGACGTCTCGACCTTTAGCCTGCCACCACGCAGCTTCCCAAGCCTCACGTGTTGACAGATCTGGAGAGCCGGGGCCCTGCACGATAGACGAGAAGCCAGAACCCGGGTAAATCTTTCCTTCGCCCACGCTTGACGGCTACCACCACACAGCTTACCTCTCTTGGCCACGGCCGGGCCCCAGGCTCGGCTTCATATCGGGACTTCTCTCGACAGCCACTGAGAAGTCTTGGGGATAGATGGCTGCATCATCAATATGCGCAGCGCAATATGGGGTCCTCCAGGTTCCCGGAAGGCTGGCAGACCTCTGGGATCCGCCTCGTCTGCGTTAGTCCATGACGGGAATTGTTCCAAGCGACTGCGTTCCGGACTTCGGCTTGTCAACCGGGAACACATTGATTGCATCCTCTGCTCCTGGACGCCTGGACGTCTTCCCAGTGGTGTACGAAGGGTCCTTTCCGGTCTGGACAGAGACGAGATCTGCAACGCTGCCGACTGTCCCCTTTGCTTCTCATATTCACTCGGATTGTGCCCCCATTCCCCAGAGACGAAGCCGACCCGTGGTGCAGAAAACACGGCATCATTTCGACCGGCTTGTTGGCCTACCGACCCCGAGCTTGCTTTCGCGATGATGGACCTTGGGCTGATCCCAGCGGATCGCCCACCACAGTCGGACCAACACACCAATATACGAAGAGTACGCGGCTTCCGGGCAAGTGCCCGTCTGTGCCAACTGCCGCATACGAGACTGGAAGGCGTGTTTGCCGGGTACCTTGCGTTTGTGGGGAAGCTCTTGCAGGGCGGGATGCAGAAGTCTTGCGCGAGTTCTGGCTGCTGCGCTCTCGGTCTGCATGAGGTCAATGAAGGGTGCATATGTCACGAGGCCCGTTGGCGATATGAACAGATCAACCGGTGGCGAGAGGTCGCCGGCTCTCGCTCACGACTCCGGTTTGGACTGGACAACATCGCAGGGGACCACACTGGGCTCGAGGAGCACTGCGTTTCATTTCGCCATGGCATCCTCTGCGTCTTCGGGATAGACGATGCCGCTGCTCTGCGCTGGCTAGCCCTACCGAACCGCGGTTGGCGATGACGGCAGTAGACCTGTTGATGATGGCGGATGGCCTAAACGGGAGAAGCCTGGCGAGTTGCGTGCTGGTCGTTGGCCGCCCGGGAAAAAACAAGCCACTCCCACACCTTTTCCGTCTGGAACATGGTAAAAGGTCCCGGGTCTTTTCCCATCGTGTCAGGCCTGTCTCATGATGCCTTTCCCGTCTTCGAGTGAAGCTCTCACGAGAGAAGGGCTGGGGCTTTCGCCGGCTTTACCACCACCCCCAAGCCTTGAGAGGAGGGAGGATTAGAGCGAGCTGGCCGGACCCATCCATCCTGCGGCGGCACGCAAGTCCGATGGGATGTCAGACCGGCTTTCCCTCCCGGAATCCCCTCCGACTCGTATGTCCATGCGTTGGTTCCTGAACCGACTACGTTCGGTACCGTTGACAGTTTGGCCCCCATCTGGCATCCAACGGGGGCGTCAGACGGCTAAAGAAACCTCCACCTCCTCCTCGTGACGATGCCCACCAGGTCGACCGGTAGGTAGCTGTCAAAAAGCTCCTGCGTCGCACCGAACCACGATCGGCATCCTCCGCACTTTGGGGCAATGCTAGGTACCATCGGGATCGGGCGGGGCGGGGGTTACCTCGAGCGCCGTTTTGTTGCGCGGGCAGAACTGACTGACTGCCAGCAGGGTGCTGCTTGTCGGGCCGGCCAGTCAGTTGTCATACTCATCAGTTTTGCAATTGCTGTTTGCGTTTCCCGGAACCAAGCAAGCAAAAGAAAAGTTTGTGTGTGTGAAAATTTTGCCCGGCCGGCCTTTCGGACGAGGCAAATTTGCACACGCAGGTCGGCATCGCGCCGCAGAAGAAGCACCGAAAAGGCGGCGGAGCTCCGCTTGGTTCGGCGGCGGCGGGCGCGCAGCTGCGTGCATATATATCTAACATATAGAGCAAAGACGGATAGCTTCCATGCTATCGAGGCGCCGCCGCCGGCGCTGCTGCTGTGAGGACCTAGGTGGATCACGACAAGGCTTGCCTGGCTATGTGGCTCCAGTGGGCAAAATGGCCAATATTATAGCATGGTTTTGTTATCTGCCCACTTTCCGCACAGTACGCAGTTGTGTGTGCGCGGCGGAAGAGTGGGTGAGTCGCACCTTTTCCTCCATATGGCGAGAGGACTGCGTCGTGCTATGGGTTTACCAGGACAAGGGAGAGATGGGGTATATTGGGGGGTATACGGAGGGCGAGGGGGGGAGGTGTTGATTTAGCCTTGTGGGCGATGGATCCAGGTCTGAGTACCTAGGTAGGTACGTGGAGAGGAACAAGGGGTCCGGCATCTCAGCAAGCGTGGCTCGGCTTTCGCTGTCTCTCGCTCGCCGGCGGGTGCTAGATGGTGATGGTGATGATGACGACCGAGGCCGGCGAGCGGCTCTGGGAGAGAGAGGAGGGGGATGGACGGGGGAGGGGTGGCGAGCGTCTCGGTATCCGGATCAGGAAACGGGCTTGCAGCCAGGGCTGCTGATCTCTTGGGATCCCGGGCTCTGGTACTATGGTGGTGGGAAGGGCTGGGCTCAGGCGAGAGAGACTCGGAGTCGTCGTCGTCGAGCAGCAGGGCATGGCGGGGGACGGGAAGGGGGGGGAAAGGGTGTGGGTGGGGTGGCGCATGGTATACCCGGGCTGGAGTAATGGGTTTGACGGGTGGAATCGATCTATCGGCGACAGGTTGATGATGGTGGGTGTGGCGTGCGCGGGAGGTGGGTGGGTAGGGTGCGGGTTGGTGGACTGGCAAGGTGGAAGGTGTGCCGAGTCGGAGACGGCCACGGGGAGAGAGAACTGAGGTCCCGCTTCCCGGTGTGGACTATGTTCATGGTATACGGGGGTGCATGATGATGGGTATGAGGTGGTGGCTTGGTTCTCCGGGTGTTGTGAGGGCTTGGAGGCGGTGACGGCGGTGAAGGTTTGGTTCAGTATAGGGTGGATGAGGTGGGATATTATATAGGTCCGTCGATATCCGCCTGCTGGGCTTGTCTCTTTGGACGCCTGGCTGGATCTTGGGTGGCCGTACGGGGCTGATGGCGAGGACTTTGGACAGTGAATGGTGGCGGCGGCGATGCTGGCTGCTATGGGGGTATAAGGGGGCGGGATATACGCAATAGCTCGCGGGGGAATACGAGCTTGGACGTGTATGCGCGGTGGTTTGACAGGAGAGCATGCTGAGAGGGTGGACAGAAGTCCGTTCCTGAGTCAGATCTGCTGGAGAAGCTGAACGCTATCCTGAGGCTCGGAGCCGGACAAGACTCAAGCCTCCCTGGCGTTACTTACCCACAGCCTTTACAAGACCATCGCCCTGCTACCGATGGCCCCCGGAAACGGCCATACCGATGCCTGGTAAGTGCCCTCCTCCCTGTCCGGGCAGCAGAGACTCGGATATGTCAGATATATACCACTGTCAGTCAGCACGGCATTGCTGCCCAGATCCCCGGCCGTCTGGCCGTCAGCCCTTTGTCCGATCCGATGATGATGATGATGACACCGGAGACGGGGAAGGAGGCACAGTGTTGGCTGATGGGGAAGAAAACAGTGACTGACCGACACGGAGATCGGCTTCGATCGTCGCGAGTTTAACTCCAGACGATAGGCGGATCGATCACATCACATGGACGATCGGCTCGTCCCATGATTGAGGGAGATGGAGAATTTGTCATGACGGGGGCGGCGGCGGCGGCAGGTTTGGTGTCGCTGGTGTGTATAACCGGTCCCGGTTATGTGCCCCGGGGCGGGAAGGGAGCAACAAGCATGAAACACGTCGTGGGTTCATCCGTTTTCCGCGTCACGGTCCATGCTGTCTGCGATGGCCAAGGGGAGGATGGGGTGGGAGGCAGGACTGGAAATGGCTGGTGCTGGCGGGCTGGGTTGGGTTGGGTGTTGGCGGTGCGGAGAGGAGTATGATGTCCGATGAGGTGGGAGATGAACCTAGGGCTGGGGGGACTCGGCTTCTTGAGGGACTGAGAGGGCACTGCCGTGAAAGTTCAGTAGGTACCTACCTAGGTAGGTATCTTCTCTGGGGCTTGGGGATTGTAGACGATGTCCATGTAGTTGTTCAAGGGGGGTTGTGGTCGCGACGGATGCGTCTTCTACGGCGACTTCTTGTCGCGATCAATCCTGTCTGTGGGATCTCGAAGAGTTGCCGGATTGTTGAAAAAGACATATGCTATTCTGGTAGATGAAAAAATGAAAGGCCCCAGGGAAGCTTTTACGGATGTTTGCCGAGGTAGTCGTTTGCTGGTATGGGTGTGGTGGTGTTCACAAAAAAGCAAAGTAAACAAACCCCTGAACGATCGACGACATCGACCCCCGTGCACCGCACGACGCCATCGCCAACGTCTGAGACCAGATACACTGAATGAAAACCCATCAGCTCTCACCCCAACGCATTTATCTGTCCATGAATGCAACATCTTGATGTGCATTTAAGTCAATCACCCCCCCCCCTTTCTGCTTCCACACCAGCAACACCACAATATCATCCTCCATCCCACCAACTCCAAGCACATACGACCATACCCACTGCAGAACTCGGGATCCCGTCCGCTCTCCCATAGATAAGCCAGTGAGGGCCAGACTAGTAGTTGGGTCGGTGACGACCAGCGAATCCCTGGTGTTGTATGTCTTTTTTGCAGTTTGCCGACTTTCTTTTTGTCAGCAACGAGGGAGGCAGGCCCTTTACTTGTTGTGCAAAAGGATGTTATTTTCTCCCTCCGGAATTTGGATGCATGATTGCGTTGCCTCTCCCATGGCACCGGATCTCAACTTTGACAATCGGCGGGCGTGCCAAAAAAAAAAGGTAGCAGAATCTGTCTCCAAAAAGAAAGGCATCACCTGTCCAGGACAGGATGCACACCGAGATGCCTCCAAGCGGAGTCGAACCGCTGACCTTCTCATATGTCAGTCGTCCCCCGCTTGAGATGATCAAGAGGAGTAGTACTAGTGAGACGCTCTACCACTGAGCCATGGAGGCCGGGATCCCATTTGGATGAGAGAAATGAATGCGGAAAGAACCTGAAGTCTCTGCGAGGTTCAATCCATCGGGATGAGTGGGAGGTCCAGTTGGCGAGTCATGACGTTGATGGTGTTGGGCTGCGGACCCTGGTGACGTGACCTGCAGCAAAAAGAGCTCAAGGGAGCAAAAAGAATGCTTGCTTCGACACAAACCCACTCTTGTGATCGAACACGGGCTCGATCCGTGGACCTTCAGTGTGTTAGACTGACGTGATAACCAACTACACCATTCGACCTTGTCGTGAGGCTTGTTTCTGAGCTGCGATGGATGCCGAGTTGGAAACCGGGGCTGATGAGCACCACACAATGTCGCATCTCAATATGTCACATTGATTCTTCAACCACCCTGACAATAGACAATACAGCATTTCCATATGTAAAACCCCATCTACCTCACCTCCACAAACCTAACCCCCTCCATCACCGGCCGCGCCCCCTCGCCCACCTCCACCATCCCCCTCTGATACATGGCCAACCACACCGCATCAGCATTCACCACCTCAAACGCCCCCCTCAGCGCCTCATTCCGCGGCACCACATCCACCACCAACTCCAGCATCTCATCAAACATGCCGTCCTCAACCCTAACATACGTGACGATGGCGCCCATCAACCCCACCGCCGCGCTCCACACCTGCGCGGCCTGCGCGAACCGCCCCAGCCCCCCACCCGACGACTTCCCAACCACCGAAGACGCCGTCGTCGCCGGAACCAACATCCCCTCCCCCTCCGCCGCCGCTGCCGCGCGGCCGGGGATGAGGATATCCCTGCCCACACCCGACGACGCGCCCAAGCTCGTCGTCGTCGTACCCAACGAGCCCGAGCCGCCGCCGCCGCCGCCCGCCCTGGCCGCCTCCGCGCGCACCTTGACGAACCACCGGCGCAGCCCGCCCGCCCACTCAGCGGCGAAGCGCGACGAGAGAAAGTCGCCGGCGGCGGCGCACAGCGCGGCGAGGGCCTTGCAGGCGGCGACGGCGACAAAGGGCTCGGGGTCGTGCAGGCGGGCGACGACGACGGGCCAGACGGTGTTGACGAGGGGGAGGAAGGCGTTCTCGTCGGGGGCGAGGGCGGGGCCGACGGTGGCGACGAGGTCGAGGAGGGACTTGCGGAGGGCGGGGGTCGGCGAGGTGAGGTAGTATTGGGTCAGGGAGAGGACGCGGGTGAGGAGGGTGTAGGTGGGTGTCTTTTCCGGGTTGGGGGGTTTCTCCACGGCGGCGTTGGGGTCGGGGTCGGAGTCCGAGTCGGGGTTTTCGAGTTGGTCGAGGAGGGATTTGGCTTCGCTCTTGTCGGGGCCCCAGGGTTCGGTGGGGTGGCCGCTGCGGATAACTTCTTCTACGTCGCTGTCGCTGTCGGGGTCGGGGTCGGAGGGTTGGGTGGTTTGCCTCTTGGAGCGGGCCTCTAGGATGTCGAGGACTCGGTTGATGCCGAGCCGTGTTGGTTTCCTCTTTTTGTGGTCGACTGTTTTGGTGGTGTTGGCGTCTTCCAGCAGGAGCATGTCCGACTTGACGCCCTGCGTGACGACTTCTGACAGAACAGAAAACATGTTTTCGACAAATACTGGATAGCCGTGGTAGTTGTCGAGCGCGGCAAAGATGGCTTGGACCACGTCGTCGAGGAACGGAATCAGCTTCGGACCTGTCAGGTGGATCAGCATGGTGAGGACCTTTGTGGACGCCGGCGAGATGTCGAGCGTGTTCAGCCGGAGCGATACCGAGTTGACCATGTAGTCGGCGTTGTCGATGATGAGGTCGGATACGCTCTTGTAGCCACAAGACGCCGCCAGAATATTCAACGTGGTGATGGCGTGGCTCCGTAGCTGGGGGGCTGCCGATCCGAGGAACGTTGCTATGGGATAGAGGACATCGATGAGTTCAGGGCGGAATTCAGGCCCCAGGCGATGAGCCGCAAAGGCCGTGACCTCGAGGGCGATCGCTTCCAGCCTCCAGTCTACTTCGGTCGAGTCGGAGTGCGACGACAGCACCGATGCTGAGAAGTCGTAGAGCTCCCCAAACGCCTGCTCTTGACCTTGGGATTCACTGAACGAGGAAAAGTCGACAAACTCGTCGAGGCTTGCTGACTGTGAATAATTGGCCTTGAGGAGTTCAAAGGCAAGCCAGTATGATGCAATCTGATCCTCGCCCTCGGAATCGCGCACATAGTCCAGCATGTCCGAAGCAATCTTTGTTTGCAGCGCCGGGGAGCCGATCCGGGATATAAGCTTCATAATCTCCGCCCTCGTCTCCTTTTGGCCTTCTGTACCGAGCAGAACGGTGCTGTATGCATCCATGCCCAAGTCGGAGGCAACTAGCCCGGTCCCTGACGCAAGAGCCACCTCTGTGCCAACTTCATTGAAGACTTTGGGTGGCTTTGAGTTCTTGAGGAGGGCAACTATGCTATCTCGCAGAGAGTCGCCGAGAGAGTTGTCCAGAATGGACGAGTCCAGCTGGAGAGAGGAGGCGAGCTTGCTTCCCCTCAAGACATTTCGGACGGCCAGTCTTTTTATGCGCTCGTCGTTGGAGAGCATCACGCGGGGCAAGCCTTTGACCCAGTCGTACAAAGCTAGCTTGACACCATCGGCGAGCTCGGGATAGACGGCGCAAAGGTCCGACAGGCTGGTTTGGAGAGGAGATCGCATCGTCTCCTCATCTTCGAGCGTCATGGCGCTCTCGACCAGTATGGATTGGCAGTCGACGAGGGAGGCATGGCACTCGTCTAGAAGAGCAATGCAGAGCTTATACAGGGCGGACTGGACATCCTCGTAATCATGATTTCGGAGCTTCATGACGGATGACAGGGCAATCTTGACTTGGGCCGAAGTGGCCTTGAGCCACGAGGCGGAAAGCTTGACCCGATAGCCGTCAGCCTCTTCCTGTGGCGCCTCTTTGAGGACTAGGTCTTTGGATGTTTCTGCTCCGTCGCCGGACTGCTGGAGCTGAAGCCGTTTGGCGTCCTCGAGCTTTTGGAGGTCGTCGCGTTCTTTGATGATGCCCCGGATCTTGATGTCGCTAAATACAGTTAGCAGCACCGTCTGGAGGACGGCCAAGGCGGCGATCAGGACCCTTCGTTGCATCTTTGGCTGCAGCGGAGGGGACAGGACTTTGCTGAGGGCAGACACGGTGCCCGGCAGGAACTGGGCCAGAACAGATGCATCGCTGACCACGGTGAAGACAGTCTGCAGGCAGGTGAGAGCCTCGAGCTGGATCAAGGGCGCAATGCCGTCCGTGACACCGTCCAGCATGACGGTGACGCTCTGTCCCAAGGCGGGAATGAGCTTGGCACTGGTCTCTGGGGAGGAGAGGGCCGAGGGCGAGGCATCCATAAAGGTGAGCAGGACTGTCAGCGCCCTGAAACCTTCCAGCAACGTCTCCTCGGGCAGTTGTCGCTTTTCCTTTTGGCCAGGCACGCCGCTGATGGTAAAGGACAGAAACAGCAGGAACTGCTGGGTGAGCTCGGGCGAGATCTTGTTCTTCCAGCCATGCTTGATGAGGAGGGTGAGAAGTTGGATCGAGGCTTCGATGACGCGCACTGGGAGCTGGTCCTGCTTGCGGAGGAGATGTGACAGGGGGAAGAAGACATAGCCAGCCAGCTTGTGGTCGAGGATGGTGGCATTGCGGCTCACTTGAGCAGTCCAGGCAGCCGTCAGGGCCTGGATAAGGCGAATGATCTCTTTTGCATCCGAGCCAAGGTCGGTTGAGCGGAGAGCGAGCTGGCTGAGGGGAACACAGATGGCCTTTAGCTGCGTCATGGCGCGTTAGCATCGTCAATCGGGTGAGGGCATCGCCATTCACGTCGGCGTCCAAGGGGACTCACCTGCTGGAAGAACCAGGTCCGCTCCTCGGGCGATTCAGAGGTGGCCATGATGATGGAAAAGTGCCCTGTCCCTGTTTGGACAAGCGCTGGAATAAAATATTCATTTATCCATCGGCAATGGTCATGGTGTCGGGTCGGGTTCTGTCTTGTCGTGGGATGGAATGAAGCCGATTGAGGCCTGTCCGGCGACGGGAGATGTTGCTACAGGCAGGCCCTTACCACTGTATCTTCAGGGGGTGATGCCCTGAGAGCAAGTTGCTGGCAGTGTGGGATCCACCACTGCACGTGATGGCGGACGGCGGGGGGCGGTCGTTGCCGAATCGGCAAAATGGCGTGACGGTCGCGACGCCGAAAGCCGCATCCCCCTCCATTTCCCCTCCCCGTTCCGCACCCTTTGTCGCAAGTACAAAGTAGAAATCAATACAAAATGTCGCAGGGAGGATCGGCGGACGAACTGTCGCCAATATCGCCGGCCGGACAGGACACGCCGGGGCCGGGGCCCGGATCGGAATCGGGGCCGGCACCGACTCGGCCGGTCGACCCGGGCCGAATCAGACGAAACACGGCCTGTGTCCGGTGCCGAGACGCAAAAGTCAGACCCCATTCCTTCTCTTTCGACAGAAGACAGAAGACTAACACCCCGTCCGTCTCCACAGGTCAAGTGCAATGCCAGCACCACCCCGGGACGGCCATGCTTCCGATGCACCAAGCTGGAGCTGGACTGCGTCGTCGACAAAAGCTACAAGCGCACGTCGCGGAGGAGGTTCGTTCCAACTTCCCGTCCTCCCCTGGACCCTGGCTGCTGCCGTGTGTGTTGCTGTGGCGTCGAGTCGTTGTGTACTTGGCTTCCCTGTTCAGGGGCAGGGCCTCTTGGCGCCGGCCAGGAGGTCCCCTCGGCCTTGTCCCACCATCAACCCGAGACTAACACGCCCTGCCTGCCAATAGCAAGCTCGAGGAACTTGCTGCAGAAGTCCAGACCATCAAAGACGCCGTCGCTCAACCCAGCGCCGGGCCCCGCCCCATGCTCTCGACCCCAGCCCTACCAGAGCTCCTCCCTCCCGTCCAACTCCCACGCCCTCACCACCTGTTGTCTCCCCAGCTGCTCCTCAATGACAACACCACCTCACCCACCTACACCAGCTCATCCAC